AATCCAAATACAGTAACACCTGACATAGGCCTAAGCTCATTTAACATCCTCTGATAAAGCCAATGAAAAGTTGAAGCAGCAAAGAGAAACATCACTGAGACTTTCTACCTGTGTAAAAACGTCGTTGGTTCACAGGCGAAACGTCTCGATAAAGTTCATCTTTGCCACTGTGTCTCTTTATTTCCACTTGCCAGTTTTTCCGTGATTTGTCTCCATCTCAAAAAGTCATTGATAACATGCTCATGTATTCTCCCCAACTTCCCACTCCTCCCACTCCTCCCACTCACTAGATCAGATTTCAGAATTTGCCACTGAAGTGGCTAGTTTATTGTGCACCCCATATCTATCCTGTAGAAGGGGTCCTCCCCAGTCATGAACTCCATATTCAACAATTTAAATGCATCATCACAGGACTTAAATATTCCGTGAAGACAGTTTAGACACAGGAATTATCGTATATTGTACACACTACTGATGTAGATCCTACATGGAATTGATGGCAGCAAAGTACACGAGAAGAATTATGGACCTGTAGCACCCACGTCACACGTAGTCAAAATCAAAATCTTTAGAAGACTCTTATGGCGCAGGACTGACTAATTTAGAACGGTACGCTCCCTGCCTCTGGCGACTGCTGCACCAGTTCGAAATGGTTCTGTACGCACTGCAAGACAAGTAATTAACACAGTCCTTGCGAAGCAATTAAGAAGTTTGATCACTGTGTAGCAGCACACAAACTATGTTCAAAAGGAAAAGCTGTAAAAAAAAAAAAGTAGGCAGACAGATTTTAAACTTTTTAAGAACACAGACCCGATGACTTGTAGTCAATGAAGGTAAATCTGCGGTCTCTTCATTGAAAAATTATGTTCTTCAGGGTGTTCAGTGTTCTCAGAGGTAGGAAAGTGCTCGATAATTAAGCTAAAAGGTAACTCAGCGAGGAAAAGGCGTTCAAGGCTTGCATTTCTGTCACTTCTTTTATAAGGAGAATTATCAGCATATCCCTAAATGTTTTCAGTAATAAATTAATAATAATAATAATAACAATAATAATATAAAAACATTATTATTATTATTATTGTAATTATAATAATAATAATAATAATAATAATAATAATAATAATAATAATAATAATAATAATAATTATTATTATTATTATTATTATTATTATTATTATTATTATTATTATTATTATTATTATTATTATTATTATTATAATCATCATTTTTACAAGTGAGGCAGTCCTAAATGACATTAATGGCAGACTATATAGAAAGCCCATGGTTATACAGAGCCTAGCTTAATCCTGTCCCCCCCCCAGGATACGACCTACAACAATCGACTAACATCCAGGTACCTACTTACTGCTAGGTGAACAGGAGCCCGCGTATCCCCCGTGCAGGGGATCGATCTTGGCCCCCCAGTAAGTGGGCTAGGGACGTTACCAACCAAGTAACATCATCATCAACAACAAAAGTAATAACAACAACAACAACAATAGTTAAATATATATACGAACACAATAGCAATAAAAAACGAACAACAGTCCAAAATTCCAGGAAAAAACAAAAGAAAAAAAGAGTGAACATTGCCCCAATTGCATGGCATGGTCCGAAAATTTAAATGAAAAGATGGGAAATCATGGGGGGAATGGAGAATTAGAAATGGGAACAGTGCAAATAATAGAACATGGGGAATAGCAACACCAGGAAATAGGGAGGAGGAGAACAGGGAATGGGAAAGGGTAAACTGGGAGAAGACCGAGTGGAAATAGGATATAGGGAAGCAAGAGGAGAGGGGAGGCAATAAGAGTGAGGAATTGGAAGGGAATAACTGAGAGATAAACGAGGGGAAAGAATGATAAATGAGGAAGATATATGGAAGGGAATTTGAGAGATATAACGGTGAAGGAAAACCTGGAACGACCGCCTCATATTTCCATAAAGGAAACCTTAGGTGAGATAAATTACTATAAACAAGTGAGCTAATTAGTGAATTAGTTTTAATAAGCGAGTTACGTTCATTATAGATGAGTGAGTTAGGTTAAATTTGTATACACTGATTACATTTAATTTTAGTTATGCTAGATATGTTAAGTAGCTTTAAATAAGGGAATTAAGTTTCTTTAGGAAAGTGAGTTGTTTAATTTACTTATATAAGTGAGTTAAGTAACGAAAGTTGATCAGTTAACTGTTAATTATTCAGTTAAGAAATCATTCATACCAGTGTCTCTATTTGGTAATATATTCACAAACTGACTGGTTGACTGACCCAGTCAATCAGCCAGTCAGTCAACCAGTTTGTTAGCCAGTCAGTCAACCAGTTTGTTAGCCAGTCAGTCAACCAGTTTGTTAGGCAGTTAGTCAGCCCGTCAGTCAACCAGTGAGTCATTCATTTGGTCAGCCAGTCAGTCAGCCAATCAGTTATCCGCTTAGTCAGCCAGTCAATCAACCAGTTTGTCAGCCAATCAGTTATCCGTTTAGTAAGCCAGTGCAGGAGGAGGCACTGTACGACGATCACTTGACGTGTGGAGTGGAGGAGGCACTGTACGACGATCACTTGGCGTGTGGAGTGGAGGAGG